TTAGTATCTTTGTGTTCTCCAGTGACTTGCAGAAATGATAATTCCTTTGGTATCAAAGCTTTAAAAAAGTATTAAAATAGGATTTGGAAAGCAGAGGATATTCCCCATAGAGTAATACAGTTCCATGAAAGGTCAAAATACAGGGTGTCTTTACTCCACAATATTGCTTAAATATATTTTGTGTAACTAATATACCCAGGCAATATTACTTTTAGTAATTAAAAATACGTATTTCTGGATTCATGAAAATCAGAACAGCAAACAGTGGCAGGTGTTAAATTTAGGCTGTTTGTACTCAATAAGGATAAAGAAGATTGGAAAAATTCATAACACTGCTCATTGGAGAAAAAATGCTTAAGTATGTCAGACATATATTTCTTTCCCGAGAAGCAACAGCTCTTTACTAAATCCAAGCTCCCTGACAGATAAAGACACTTGCAATGATGAACAGATTCCATAGCTTTCTTTACATTTTGCTCTCCAGACTCCTATTTGAAGAGTCAAAATCATGACTGAAAAATGTGCGTTATCACAAGGATAGCATTGTGTGAGATCATTTGTATAGAAAGACAAATATGCTAGTTCTAGTTATATTTTAAAAGCTTCTGAAAATAGAACGTAAGAAAGATTGGAGAGCAGGTACTTGCACATGAAAAGAATAAAAGGCCTTTTAATAATCCAGATGAGGGAATAATTATATTTAGTAGCTTTCAAACACAGGATTCTGATGAGATTTAACTGGGTAGCTAAAGGACATCTAACAAAGTCAGAAGTTGACAAATGCAAAGCAATGCGGCTGTGATAGTAAAAAACCTAACTTATTTTTCCTAAATTAAGAAAATGAAGGCTTAATGTAGGAAATTTAAAAGCACTGCAACATCCTGGGCAGCTCATTCTATCTGCTGAATGAGCAGAAATGGTAAAACAAAAAAGAGAATATTGAGAAATAAAATGCAGCTTTTATTATTTGACAAATAAGTCTGAAAATACATGAATTCCATTACAGAAATTAATATTGCAGCTTCATATAGAGCCTTTAGCTATGTTATTTGCAAAATTATATCACAGGACTAGAAAGACGACCAAAAGATTTAGAGTGAAGGATTACGTGCCAAGAACGAAGCAGTCAGGACTGACTAGCTGAACTATAGATATCATCATTATAGACCCTGTAAGCTTATGTACAAAGTAAACAATGGTCAATGCAGTACCCCTGTACTGACTTGTCAAGTCTTTAACCTATTCTAACATCATAAGAGTTCAATGATTTGGATGGACAAGAAGAAATACAAACTCTGATCTTAACTCAGGGCAAGTGGTGGTCAGATTTCAGCAATGGTAATGCCACCAGTTTGGACTATAAATTGAAAAAGGGTGTCTATAGCTAAATGATATCCAGCAATGAAAGCCTGTTGAGATGTCAGGTAACAGGCCAATTGTTTATACACTGCAGTACATTTTATGGACTAAGACATTTGGAGGTGAACTGCTGTCATCTGTAAGTTACAGAGCCTTTCAAAATCCTATCTATAGCTGTTTCAAAGTGTATTTGATATTACAGACAAAGCTGCATAGACTAAGTTTGTAGGTAAAGTTCCAGGAAGTAAGGCTTGGATGTAACTGAACTGCTTTGTGAAAGAAGGATTCTACAGAAAGACAAGAGATTACTAATGTGCAATTTTCTCACACTGAATGGATTTTGTCTTTGAACTACCAGGAAGTCAACTACTACCAGTAATAGATCTAGCACTATGAAGAACAGTATAGTTTGCTTAAATTAAAGCAGATGCATTGCTCATCTGATAAGCACAAGAAAAGAAGATGTGCAGCTATATCGATGCTTACCACATGGTAGAGTCTGTTTACAACTGGCAGCCGTAGCAGGGAGCTATGGCTCCAACATACGTACGTCCTCACTTAGACAACCAGCTGTGCTAGGGTTTATTCCAATTCTAAAAAACCCAGACAACATATACTAATAATCAGACTTCTTTATGGAATTAGATATCTTCCACAAAGTTATTCAAAAGAATATGTACATGCATATGTGCTAGAACACAGGAGCATATGCAGCACTTAAGTTATGCACTGATACAGATGCTGTACTTCACATTTGGAAACAGATTCCATAAGAGTGCACTACATAAGACAGAAAAAAGCTGGTAAAATCACGTATAGAAAAATTAAAAAAAGGCTTTCACATGCCATCACCTATTATGTACAATAAACTATCTTGAAGTACTCACCAAGAAGTATAGCATGTTAGTAACTATGAAATACTAAATGTTATATACTAAGTAATGATGTGGTTGTCTGTTCTTTCAGGGAAGGGTGAACACAGAAATACAGGGTGTAAGCACAGCTGTCCTTCAATGCCCTACAAAGCTTTCTGAGAATACTGGCTTATACATCTGCAGACTGCCACAGTAGGATGTAGAGAGAAGTTTACTAGTGGTTGCATAGTCTGCCCTTAAATCCCAGTTAGACCTTGGAAATGCATGTTGATTAGACTCACAAGATGATACTTTAACTGCCTGTCCTTCTGTCAGCTAGAACAAAGTGAGTTACTTATTTCACAGTCTTTTTGAATCACATACGCTTTTTTCTAGTCATCTACTTCATTTCCTGAAACACTTGGAGCTCTTCATTAAAAAATTCCATGGGTCCTGGCAAGAGCATTCTGTGGCTTCACCCTGTCAGGCTCCAGTAACATAAAAAGCATTGCTCTATAAAAACATGCATTATTATTGTCAACAAAATTCTGGTTTGCCATGTACGCTGATCCCTTTTACTTTTAATGGCAAAACCTCCAAAGAGAAAAGGATTGATATGATAAAAAAATGAAGGTCAGAGAGAGTTTAAATACACCAGAATAGGACAGAGACTTAAAATATGGCATTTATAACAGAGATACTGTAGTTTAGCAGCATGAAGTACTTCTTATTGAATAATTCAAGAGTGTCTGATTCAGAACCCTAACCTAAGTGCTAATTAGCCACAGCAACATACTTACTTTCAACAAAAATATAAAATAAGATCTAATTAATGACCATTTCCAGTGGCAAAAGATGAAGTTCTCTAATTTATCTCTGAAAAAAAAAAGATACTAGAAGAGGAAAAAAAAAAATGAAAGGGGAGCTTTAAAAGAAAAAAGCATTTCAAAGCCTATGTTCCTCTGGGCATTTCAGTGCCTAGGGCATGCTGCTGCAGTTAGCCCTTAGAACTCGTCATTGCAAGAGTGAGATGATTATTTCTCTTCAGAAAAAAATCTTTTCTATTACAATAAACATAGAATAAAATCTGTACATCTTCTAATCTGAGATATGCGTACATATGGTTTGAGAAAGTAGCATATCCCAAACCCATATATAATTTTTAAAATAAAAAACTGAAACAAACTGAACCTGTGCAATTCTTTGAAACTGAGTTGAGACTCCTCCCAGCAGTAGATGACACAGTACTCTGCTATACCCTGCTTTTTGCAGTTTAGTACATCACATTATTTCACAACTGGAAAGTGAGGGGATATGAAAGCTATCTATAGAACTCAGAAAATCTGGTAACACAGAGCAGAAAGTCACTAAGTCACAGATAAATAGACTACAGTGTGCTCAGTAAAACTGCTTCCACTGTTGTCAGCCATATTATCTACAATACTCATTTGATTCAAATTACAAATCCAACAGTAATACAACAAATAAACCCTAGTTAATAAGCCGTAAGACTTCAGTTGAATGCTTCCATTAAACATACACATATAATCTACCTTTAAATTAAACAGAACCTGACTCATGCATTTTATTGCTCTAAATACTGCAGGGAAACCAGCAGAGTATTTTCATAATAATGCTAAAACTGCATTATTAACTTGTGTTCTGTGCATGTTTTAAGTGATTAGCAGTACTGATCAAGGATGCAGAAGGACAGATGTTTAATTGGCAGTAAGAACACAAGAGTGAATTCTCAGTTGTCAAGTTTCAGGCAGAAGTTCAAGAGAAATATATGCCCACAGCCAAAGCTGAGTCTCATTACTGACTTTTAAATGCCTATTTAAGATCTCCTTGATTAGCGAAGTATTGAAGCTTATTTATTCTTGCCTCAGAACCTTAGTTTACTTCTTAGGTAGCCAGAAATGCAATGACAGATCTTTATAAGAAGAAGATAGTCTCCATTAAAAATTTGCAAATCATGAGTATGATTTACATGTGAGAGACTCAAGGCATTGTGTGTGGACTCAGCTGAAACTAAGATGTGAGCTCCTCCCTGCAACATTTCTCAGCAACAAGACAACATCATAATCATGCCAAACTAGTCTGTTTTGCCCTTAAAGACACATTTGCCTTATAATTTCCAGCAACCCATTTAACTGTTGAAAAATTTCATTTCAGGAACAGAACTATAGATATTACTGTGATCTTGCTGCATTTGCTTTTTCACTTTCATATTGACACGTTCTTTCTACCTTCCCTAGCATGTGTTAAAGCTTTTGCATATTCTGTCATACAATGTAATCAAAATAAAGACCCTACAACCTTATTATTACCCGTTTCCAGTATCTCCATTTCAGTATTTGAAAGACAAACCTGGTGAAACCAGAAGCTGTACAGTGTCAGTGAAATTCTGTGAATCCTTATTTAGAAAGCTACTCCCTCCCAAGAACATGATGTTATGCGGGTTATCTCTTCCTCTGCATAGAGCTCAGCAGTCTTGGGTTCAGTTATCTTCGCTTCTACAAAGTGGGGTTCCATCTCTCAAAAAAAGGCTGCTCTGGCTGTAGGCCCTTTTGACACTGACACAGTAACTCTACAATGTATAATGCAATGGGGCCACCAGGACACAGTTTTCTTCTAACTACCTGAAAAAAAACTAACATAAAAGTCTCTGGAAAAGCTTAAGAAGTTTTAGAATAAAGTATTTAGTTGGAAAGCAGACGAAAACTAAGCAATTTCTTATTAGTTTTTCTTCTTCTGTTTAATGAGGTTTTTTTATTTTTAACTTACCAGGCATGATAATATTGGAAAACCCCAGTTTCCTTGTGATGGATACTCCATGAGTAAACATCGATGTATACTCTCTCCTTATTTGTTCTATGTCTCCATGAAGCAACTGAAGAGAAACTGCCAGACCTGAAAATGAAAAACAAGGAAAAATAAGACATTCAAACAAAACATGGTCATGACTACTTCTTAAAAATTATTTATACTTGTGAGTATGTATGCATTCCTGAGAACTCAATAATACCAAGCCAGCCCACCTCAATTTTTTAAGGTTTTTTGGAAGGGTACCAACATCTAGAAATCAATAAAACCTTAAAAAAAACTACCCATTAAGACGCATTAACAAATTCTTACTAATGTGTAACTGAACTGCGATGACACATCAGATGAAAAGTATCTCAATCGGGATGGACTGAAGCCCTAACTAGAAAAAGAGTTAGAAAAATGTTTATTTAGAGAAATGTCGATCAGTAATATTTGATATAATTTTAATTTTCCTTGTCCTTCAACACAATGCTGCCTTTGCAGGTATGCAAGAAAAGGTGCAAACACAATGGTCCCCATCTATGGGAGAAATGTGCAAGTCTCATTACAATGCATCATTTAACCTGATACAAAGTTATAAAATTTAATCCAAAATCTGAAGAAACAAACTCTAATAAATCAATATAGCATAATCAGTATTTTTTACTCAGACACAGTAATTTCATAATGGCTAAAATTACAACTTTTTTCAATAATAATCAGATTTAATCAGTTGTGCTCTTTCCTGTATTTGCTAGAAGATACACAAAAATCCAAAGGTGGCCTTATAATCTTTTTCCACTATTTATTCCTCTAGAACCAAAGAAGAGTAACTTCATCTACTATATCTGCAGTATACAAATGAATTGCAAAGAGTATACTTTGTTACTGGGAGTTGGACTAGATGATCTTTAAAGGTCCCTTCCAACCCAAACCACTCTCTGATTACAGCTGAGATTAACAAAAACAACGGCCGTGCCTTTTGGTTATTTCTAATATAGTCGCTGAGGGAAGTGTCAGGATGATACAGCTTGTAAAGATTAGTCTTCCCTGACCTTCAACATTACTGCAACATACCACGTGTCAACATACAGATCAAGAAGATAAGAGCTTCATAAACACTGAAGAACAGGAGATAAACAAGACAACTCAGAAGACTCATGATTAACTTTAGATTAAGGTTAAGTAAGTAACATGTACACACAAGCTGAACAACAAGGTCATCAGTCATTTGGGCTTTGAAAGAAATTTCCCCTACAACTATGTTACTATTTATCTGAATAAATTTACTTGAAGTTTGTTGGTTCTTAAATCAGAGCTTGAAAAATCTGTCTTAAGCTCTGCCAGTCCAGGCTACTGCACTAAAGAGATCAGAGATCTAATTAGTTGACAACTTTTATCTTCTTCCTCTTACCTACACTTAAATTTTATTACTTTGGCAACTCCAGGGAACATGACACTCTGACCACACTTCCATTCTCTTATGAAAAACAGTTCACATACAAATCTCCAACTGAATACATAAATATTACTAGGAAAAACATTCAGTGAAGTCTGTTCTATTTTCAGTACTGTATTTAAGGTTATGGGCATTAACTATTCGGTAATGGGAATTTGTTTATTCACAACATTTAGGAAGTAGCAACAATTACTATTGGTGCAGATGAGAAACCAAACCACACTGTGGCCGGCTATTGGCACAGGAGATTGGTAAGAAGTCATATAAGCAAAATTCAGACGATGTTAGAGCAGGTGAAAAGGTTTTCATTGCTGAATGGGAAGAGGTGGGCTGGGTATAGCTCACTTACAAATACAGATATTTATCCCACCTCCAATCTTGTTTCTTTTAATATTTTAGGAAATTGTTATACATACACAGGTATATTTATATGCTCCTGTTGCACTGTTTCCTTGGACAACTAAGGAACAATTTGCCATTGCTCCACATCACATCAACCACAACAGTGTTCATCAGATATTGTACACTGCCTGGTGCTGAGTAAAGGTATTGTATTTACTAAACAAAAAGATGAAGACCTCAAATCCAATTAGTACTACAGTTTTCTTTGTGTACAAATTTCACAGATTTCCTTAAAGAATTTTATTTTGCTCAAAAATTAGATAAGTGTCAAAAAACTTCATCAATGGCAAAATAGTTTTAACTTGAGAAATAAGCTGCCTGTCAAGGACTTGAAGTGCTTGCTCATGCAAGGCAAGAACGTTATTAGAGCTCTGTATTTCACAGCATTCATCGTTAGAAAATGAATAGTCATTTTTTTATAACCAAAAGCCTCAAGAAAATCTCTCACTTAAAACATGGTTTAGTCATTTTACCCACAGCTTAAGTACATCTTTGGAATACAAATGGTATGCATCACCCAACTCTTCAGAATAATGAAGAACACTGGATTAAAGATAGCAGTTACTTTAAAATGTTATACAGTGTAAGCAGTCCAGTAAAATAGGCAAGAGTGAAACGAAACCAGACTGGAAACGGAACAAAGGTGCACAGGGATGGAAGCCAAGGTTTCAAGTTAACAGCCTTGCCACTGAGGCTCCAGCTGCCAAATGAAAAGGGAATTGACAAGAAAGGAAAGAGAAAATCTGATGAGTTTGGTAAAAATGCTGAAGTTCGGAGCATAAGGACTTTGTACAACCAATGAAAAGAAGGCAGTCCCCAGATAGTGTCCCAATTGCTCTCTCAAAGTTCCACTCATTTTGCAAGGAAACGAGACCCTGTCCCTGCATTAAAAACCTAAAATCAGAAGATGCATACTGTTACTGAGGTGTGATACTGAAGTTACAGTATAGGTTGCTTGAATTCCCACCAATTTGTGACATTGGGGATCTTGCGTTGGGCAAAAGGAACACACCGTATGTGAAAAAACAGGGACTTATTTTTAGTACTCATGAAAGTTGTAACGGTCTACTCAGAGTTATTATTAGTCCAATTACAATGATATTAGCACAGATAAAACAAAATACTGTTAAAATGACTTACGCACACACACATTCCAGTATGTACCCCCTGCTCACCTTTCCACTGCCCCTCTGGGGTCTTAAGGTTGCAACCTGGGAAGGTGGTGGATGGTGACCTGAGTTCTTAGCATCCCAAGTCCCTTGCCAGGAGAAGGATGTTGCTGTTGCTGATTCTTCCTCCTCTCTCTAGGTGCTTCCTAGAGTAATTTTTATGTTTGCTTATGTGTATTACACCTTGTTCTTTTTTCATTGGTCTGCAAGCTCATATTACATCTTAATTCATCATATTTTATGTGTTTTATATACACCACATACCTGTTCTTTGTTCTCTTTGTACCCACTAAAGCTGGTTTTATTCTACTCTCAAGGTCACTATTTGATGACCAGTAATTGGCCACTGATGAGCTGTTCATAGGTCTGGGGTCTCTCTAGTATCATCCCATGCCAGTACTTTCAAGGCCATAGCGATGGTCATATGTCTTTACTCTTCCATATTGCATTTTAGTCTAGTGTTATACACAGCTAACTCTACGCGGAGTAACAACGTGTTATAACTATCTATTAAATACAAAGCATACATACCAAGAGTAACAACGTGTTATAACTATTAAATACAAAGCATACATACCAAAGTGGGTTACAGCTCAAAATTGTACAAAGCTAAGCAACAGTTAAAGTAGACGTAATTTATTATTTTGTCATTAGATGAATGCTTTGAGGAGTCAGAACAAATTTCCAGGCAGGCTAAGGCAAGTACAGCCAGCCAAAACCAGATAAGTAATGAGGCCTGTGTTGTCAGCTAAAGAAAAAGCCTGTGGACAGTTACAAGCCACAGCAATCCCATATTTATGTGTCTATAAAAATACAACATACTTGCCAGAGAAACTAGACACTCATCATGACTGAGGAACCATGCATCTGATATAAAAGTCACAGGGAAGAGGTAATTTAAAAACATGGAATAATTCCCATTTTACAAGGGACTAAGCGTTGTATCCGTATTATAAATCAACTTATGTGACTATCAATTAGAATTAACTAACGTAATATAAAATATACGGACCCGGCATAGAACAATTCAGATTTTCAGAAGGTTGTACATTCAATTGAAGTGAAGGACTGCCTCAGACACACCTCAAGACAAAGTGGAATGAAGAGGAACCAACTAGTTGTAAGACACCGTCTTCCTCACCAAAATGTAACCAGAATTTAGCATACCATAATGACCAGAAAGCCACTGAACTCAATTTACAAGTGATTAAAGCTAACCCTAAGGAGACGAAAGGAAGGGCTGGAGAGGAATTGTTACTGCCCTAGAAAGGAAGGTTTAATCACCAGACAGTAATGAGACAGGGTCAAGGTGGAACAGGCTTCCACAGAATTTGGTCAGCGGCCAGCCTGGCAGAGATAGAGAAGACACTCAAGGAAAAGGAATGCAATCAAAGGAATGCAGAGATATTATTTTTGTATATGGAGATATAAAGTTAATTCATTAACATTTCTCCTATGGAAACATGAATAACTTTTCTGTAGTATAACACAGGTAATTATGCTTTAGTTCTTATTTATTCCACACTGACAATGTATGCCAACATCAGTTCTTTCTCATCTCATTTCATGCACTAGACAATAAAATTATCAGCTTTAGAAAAAAATTAGAGCATCCCTGCTGGAACAGCTGCGCATGGAGAGAGCAAAATAGAAAACTGCAACACGCTACCATATATCTGACTCTGGTTGATATGATTATTACACCATCTATGAGGCCTACAATCTATCCAAAACTTCATAACTATAAATTTTTCACTTCTAAAACATCAGGAGCTAAAATGTAACAATGAAAATGATTATCCAGTCTCTGAAGGACTGGCACATTTTCTGTAATTAGGTACATAGTGTAGTTTTGTCCCCTCAGAAAAAAATTCAATTACCTCCCTAGTGGTAATTAAAACCTCTTGTGTTAGCTATTATTCTTTATTTACTCCACTTTTGAAAAAAATTACTACAAAACTGTGTGGTATGCAAACAGATCTGCTTTTCTTTCTTTTGCAAGCACGTGAAATTTTTCACAATTAACCTGTACCATAGTTCACCACAGATTACTATAATCATTCAGATGAAAGAGA